CCACTCGGAGCCATCATGTGCAGTCCTGTAGACAATACAACAACACACTATTATGTGTCGTAAATATATCATACTATTTACCCACTGAATATTGAAATTCTAGCTCATCTACTATGATATACTCTGGAGATATGAGCTATTGATATGACAAGAAATGTGCAATATTATAGTTGAAATAAGACACCATACTGGCATACTATATAGGATATAAGATGTGACAAGAGAAATTTAGTGTTTCGGCCAATACTAAGAATGTCAAGTTGTTAATAATTTGAGAACTCCTATGAATGTATAAAACCAGGAGTCTGGTAACATATTTATAGATGCAAGGTGAAAACAACTAAATAAACTTTAAAACTTATTTTTATGAAATTGTTGTTCTCGTTGACTCCGGTAAATACGTTATCATTAAAAATAAATTTTAATAATTTGTTATAATTTATAGTACATAACTGAAAACACTCAACTGACAAGTAACAAAATATTTTTAAAGTATTGAGTACGAACAAGGTTGTTTTAAATCATTATTATTGCAACTTAAAAAATATTTGTATTGTTATCAAAAACAATAATTTATTAACCGAGAAACAATTTCATCTTAGTTTCTTAGAAATTAGAATGCATAATAAATTATAAAAAAGACAATTATTTTTATAGTTTATTGACTTTTCATCAAGTTAATACGAATAATGTAATAATCCCACTTTTGTTGTTTAATATGCAACTTTCTAGTGTTGTTAAAATTATTAATTTTTAAAGTATTCCTGTAACGGTTAACCATAGTAAATACTTCTTCTCAACTGTATATTTTTAATTTCGGCTTATAATTATAAATACTAATAATCGAATCTCGAATAAAATTAACAAACTCCACTTCTATGTTATTCACTACATTTTTGTACAGAAAAAAAAATGTCTGATACATGTTATTATATTTATACATTTTACACACCATATAATACAGTATACACTATATACATTAATTGTATACATAATTTGACATATGACCACTGTATTATTATAAACGTAACCGAAAACCATGTCATGTACTATATTACTTACCATGTACATTGTACCTACAATATAAATCACAATTAATAATGATACAGCGAGCAAAATGTAGATAATTATTAAATCAACACTATTCGATTATGGAGTTTTAAATGTTTTATAATACTTCTGAGGTCTGACGCCACTATTTATGGATTATCAGCCGTTGTGAGTTTACAATGTACTGATATACGTTATCGGGTTTGATATCTCTTGTAAAGCCCGACAATATAATACAATAATACGTCGTTAAAAACGATTTTATCCAGTGGCAATAAGTACCTATTATATTTTGTATATTACAGACTACAGTTTAGACGTACGATAAAAGACCAAAGAAACGAATGAAATATAATAAAAAAAAAATCTGTCACCAACGGACAGACGACTGGTGCATTTTGCACTACTACTAAATTTTCAGTACAATCAAAATATATATTATATGTGTTATTATATTAATATTATGACCGTGCAGCTGACAATGGGAGATTTTTCTTTCGTTTCTTTTATTCATTTCCTCCGCCGTCTTGTCCGAGTGACACACATGCGACATATGTAGGTAGAGTGTCCAATACACGACGTGTTATATAGGTAGGCAACTCGATATAGTGATAATGGGCACCGACAATATCGTCTCCCATTGGTCACGTTTACGGATTTTTTTCGAGTGCTTTCCACAGCTCGCCAATTTTTTTTTCGCTTCACGGTCAATTATTACATATACCTAGTTAATATCACATTATAGTACCTAAATAGGCACAACACCTCACATTGTTATTATACATAATATATATCTATTGGAAGGCGTTGTTTGTATACGGTCCACGCGGGACGACGATTTTTGCGTACCGAATTGAAAATGCATCTTGTTCAAATAGATCGTTCCGCGAAACGGGATCGAGTGCAACGTATGGGTACAATATTATATTATATACAAAAATAATATACCTAAGCTACGCACACACACACACACACACACACACACACACACACACACACACACGCATATGAGTGTGGCGATAGTAAAATAATATCGGTTGTAGATTCTCAGAACATATAATATTTATCGCTGCGGACGTTTTTTTATTCGCTTTATTTACAATATAATAGTATTATTATACGCTGCAGTTTTATTGTCTCAACGCGTCCGTCGTCAGGAAAAAATAAAATTCAACGAATATTTTTTATTATTATTTTCTTTTTTTTAGGACGTCGAGGGAATAATAATAATAACGATAGTGATAATAAAAACGGGAAACGAGCCTGCGGTGGCTGCAGCGCGTGTATACGAATAATTATCGAACCAAAACCTGTCCGAACTGTTTTCGAAATTATATCATAATAATGATAATAATTATTAAAGTCGGCGGTCATAATAAATGATTTATACAACGATAACAATTAGCAGGAATCGGCCTAGTTTTTGGTCGGCCGCACGCGACAACGAGTGCCTACCTACTGCGCCCGGCGTAAGTAAACGCAAAACCCCGTTAATTGGCGGTCAAGTTCGTAATGATTGTCGTCGTTTGTTGTTTTTATTATTTTTTTTTTATTAATAATAATACCGCCAAATACAATTAGAAGTCGGATGTTACATCTCACGGCTGCACGACCAGCTGGCCTGGGCGAGCTTGTGCCAAAATAAACGCATCGAATCCGATTCAGATAGGTCTGTACCAATAATTCGTGTGTTATAATATGCTGCCTTGTACCATTGATTGACTATACAATTGTATATATTTTAATCAATGCTGGGCTTGAACCTACGTACACGCGTCAATTAATATTTAATAACATTATTGATTATCATTATTGCATTTGCGAATTGAAACAATTATCTGCGCGAATTTATGGTGAGTCATACACGTAGACACTTACGTAATTTAAATAAATCGCTTTATGTCAATAACAATATCGATGCGATTTCAAGTACTATTACACTATAATATTATTATCTCGATAATAGCATGTTATCTCGATCATTATTCTGTCGTTGGAATACATTCAAATGGGTTTGTGCCATGTCATATTTTTATTATACGCTCTCGACGTGTACTGAATTTACGTAGGCAGGTTGGTAGGTAAATTGAACCATTATTGTATTTCACGTTAAGTCCAGCCGCAGAAATTGGTTCACATGATATAATGCACCATTAAAGTTCGAAATGTTGATACACCGCTTGGCAGGCCATTTTATCGTTGAAACGAATTTAAGTATTCAACCGATTTAGGCAATTAGGTTTACCGTATGGAACTATCTATACAGCTCATTCGGTGGAAATTTGACATTAATTGATGTAATATTATGTAATAAATGTATACCTACACTATAAGTCTATACTTAATACAAAAGTGACATTTGCATCGAAACTTTTATGAACACTTTAAGTGCCAATGGTGTAAAAAAGTGAACCTGCATCCGGCGTGGTCCGGAATTAACTTCCGGATTGTGCCAAGTTGTTATTATAAACGTTTTCACATTTTAATAAATAATAGCTATATACAGTTACGATAGGTATAATATATATTTTTTTTACTGTTTTTACTGTTAAATAAAATTATTCCACCCTTCCCCCTTTGGAAAACCCTAAACAAGTATACAAAATATGTTGATTAAAATAAAACTGTACTACCTACTATAGGTAATTGGATTTTATTATTGCTGTATTTTGTGTTTCACTGTGGTTAATCACTTTTTAAAAACGACAAATATTTATTTTATATTATATTTATACAACTATTGGAGGACAAGTGCATATTGTGTGTCCAGTTTCCTTTTTTCATTTACAGATCCACCCCCATGATGAACCTACAGCATTATTAAATTGTAGAATATAATAAATTATTATTAGAACCTACACCCGACTAGATGGCAACAATAATATAATGTATTTAAACGATGCTGTGTTGTTTACTACAGTGGCGTGAGCTCTGTGAGCTTAGCCCTATCAAAAATAATCCAAACGATCCTCCTAAAACAATACATGCTAGAAATATACAGTATTATATTAATTATTCATACTAAATATATTTATTAAATTCGAAGGATTTTACTATTAAAAAAAGATGCTTGGTGTAACTCGGTGTATGTGAGTAGGTATACCCTTGATCGGGAATATACACCTAGGTACCTGATTGAATATGTGTCTTATAGTTAAAAGTCTTCCGAAGATGCAATGATTTTTGTATTTTGTAACTTCGGTATCAATGATTTGCCGATCTTATGTGTTTTTTAATATGTAGAAAAGTCGTTGAAAGCTAATTTTAAGATTTAAGTTATCGACGGTAAGATAGAGTTGCATTAGTCGATTGCAAGAGTCGCAGTTTAGTCACCCCTGCAGGTAAAAATAATGTTCGCGCATTCAAGTTTTTTCTTGATAATCGCCATGCAGTACCGATACTACTGAAGGTACGACCCTCTACCGGAAAATATTGTAAATTCGTTAATTCTTTGTGACGTATGTACCAATGTTATCAAAACACATACTTCATAATATTATCATTATAAACTGCGATCGGACATGTTTCTTGCATGCGACGCGAACTGCCGTTATGTGATATCAGTTTGTGTCGTGGAAATCGTGTTTGTCACCAGCTGGAGGAAACGATAATAATAATTTTTATTACTCGCATTTGCTATGATATGGATTTTGATACTAGGACAACACGTTTACTATAATATGTACGTCAATAAAAAAACACATGACGCACTAAATTCTCTGCGTGTCGCCCGTTTGTCGAATTTCTCTGTTATTGTGATTCGCGAGTACAATCGTTGCACATAAATACGAGCGGTTCACTTCGAGACGCTCTACATTTCGAACGTCTAATAACACCGCGAGTATAAGTCGAATTCCATGCTGAATCGGTTCAATCAACACTCTAACATTTCGGCGGTTTCGGCGTGCGACTTATGCTGTAATATCATGTTATGTTCAACTGCACCTGCAGTGTTATAATTTAATAGTATTATGGTATTGATGGTGTTCTCCCGTCTGCCCGTCATCGATAAGACAATAGACTGATGACTCAATTCGGTGATGAGTTAAATTAACAGACGTCTCTCGATTAGGTAAGGTTTTCATCTAAATAGCTCTACTTCGTTTTATTTTTTGAACTTATCGTCTAGTTTTCACCGCGAACTTATGCCTGAGATTATTATAATATGACGTATTTACCTGCATGCAAGTGATTAAAAAAATTATTCCGTTACTGTGTATGTCAAATAATACGAGTATTTCAAGACGATTAGGTTAGCAAGTTTATACAGTTGCGTTAAAAAGACCAGTTGAATTTTAACAGCGAGTTGATACTTGATCAATAAACTTATATTACATAATAATATATATATATATGCTATTAAAGGTTTCCAATTCAAATAAATCTGCCAAGAGCCTATAAAATGTATTACATAATTAACGGCATTGTCATTTGTGAACGTTGTTCGCACATTGCACACATATTGTAAAATGTGTATACATTTGACATACTATTATGACCTATGACATTGCAATATCTAACGTCACGGTGTTCATCACCGCCGTTACTTGTATGAAATGTGCATTAGATTCTCATCATAATAATTCCGTTCCAACATATTATATATAATATTCGTACCGTTATTATTTGAACGTTGTGCATTTGGTAGGCTGTAATGTTTATAATTTTATTTACTCGAATGACTGCATTCTTGCGAGTTTGTGACCAGTTTGCTTGAGCGAGAAAGAGGAGAGAAGCCGTCTTAATTGAACTTGATTTTTTTATCTGTTCCATATATAATATTCCCACTGCATTTCTCACTAATTGAAAATTCATTTTTTGTACACCTATTATACTATAGGCTTGTTGGAATAATAGTCTCTGTATAAAGTCTTAACGACTCAACCGATATCATTATCGTAATATACTGATTACTGAAGTGTGAAAAAGGGTGTTGATACAAAACACAATACTTTAAACAGGATTGTGTAACGAAAACAAAAACGATACCAAGAATAAATAATGACAAATACTTAATTACCTATTCACTATTATACTACTTATAATTTATTCTTATACCAATACAAATTTCAATTATTGACAGTTTAGAAGAGCAATTTATATAAAAATATATTTTTTCATCGGTTACTGTAGGTAGGGTTAGAACTTAGAATACTTGTTACAGTATTGTGAGTATGTGCTGTGAGAAACTAATGTATATTTTAATAATAATTTCTAATTCTAATATTTCTATTTGTCTAGGATCCAAACATGCCACCTGGCGTTGCAGTGTCCCCGAGTTCGATTTCATCGGGATATGCAGCTTGTTCATTGATCAACGTGGACAGACAAGATCAACAACAGCCTCTCCGTGGTAATTTCCCGGAAAATATGGATTCGCATATGGGAATTAGTAGCAGCAGTAGTAGCAGTAGCAGCAGCAGCAGTAGCAGCAGCAGCAGCAGCAGCAGCAGCAGCGCTAGCAGTGTAGAGAGTGCTGAACTTTCAGACAAGGATCAACTTCAGGTGCAGTCCTGTTATAAAGGCTTAAAAACACAGGTATCTACTACATTTATAAAATACATTTGACATTTTCAAAACTCTGTCAAGGCAAAATATATTTTCAAAAATAGTTTTAGTTTGTTTATAAGATTATTCAATTTTTTTTTTTATATAAGATTTTATTAAAAATAATGAAAAAAGAATAAGATCTTTATAAATCTGTTTAAAGAAACACTTTAAACCAACTAAGCTAAAAATATAATACTTACCTGCTGTTGAATATATTTTTCTATTCTCCTGAACACTATAGGAAGGTAGGCGCATAATCAATAATTATATTTTATTTATTGAAATAACAACTTAATAACATTTTGAAAATTCACAACTACTTTTCAGCATTTATTTTTTTACAACACATACGTAAATACGTAATTATTATATGGCAAATGACTGGATGTCAGTATGAGGTACCAACGTCAGCACACTTAAATATTCATCTAAATGTAATCAAATGCGCATTTTTGATTAAACTATATTACAATAACGGTCGTAAATCCATTAAAAACCTTTTTTGTAATGGTAGTTGTCGCTTGTCACACAAGTAACAATTAAGTATACAACTAGAGTCTAGAAGTGTTTTCTTAGTTAAACATTCAAATTGATGTTAGCAAGTTAATTTATCTTATGCATGTCTTACTTTATAATATTCGTTTAAAAAAAATATCAGTACAAACTTGTTAGTTGTAAAACAAGGTTATGTAGTTCAACTTATAATAATTCGTATTCATAAAACGTGTACATATACAGTTTATTCATTAACTGGACTTATTATCAAATTATTCTATATGAATATATTATAAAATATGTATTGAAATCAAAACAAACGAGATTGTATATTATAATCGGTTATAATACAGCGCGTAATAGTTATGTCGAATTGTTGAGTATGTTCATGCAGACTATTCAATGCCGGTTTGGGATTATATTATATTTTAATGAAAACTCGATACGTTGGGATTATGCGTGTCAAATGTTTAAAGAATTAATTTTAGTTCACTAACACCATAAACGAATAAGACAATCGGTATTATCTGCTAAATTTATAGTATTACTCGAGTAAAATATTACCTGTAGTGTACGATTACATGTCTCTCTTAGTTACAAGCCTATACTGGCTACCACCGATAACGCACTGCTTGGTGCGTGTCGTAAGACGCGTAGGTACACTATACCGTATACCACGTACTGAATTTATGTGGTATATATTTAACGCGATTTTATTTTTAATTATTTTTGCAACCATCTCTTTTGATAGTTCATTTATAATGATTGTCAATAATTATCATGATAACTACAATTTGTCTATATTATGTGGTTCGCTGAACCCTTATGTGATCAATTAAAAAATTCCTAGACAAAGTTGTCATTATAATATTATAAAAGATATTTATAAACTATAATCGATTCATTGCATGCAGGCATACAAATTTATTGTTAAAGTGAACTAAACAAAGGTCGTGTGTTAATCGTGACATTTTATTTTAGCCATTAATTAACAAAGAAAAGACTAATAACACTTAAATTAATATACCTGATATACAATATACTATTGTTTTTTTGTTTGTTTTAATGTACGGTATAACTATACCATTAAGTGATAACTGTATCGTTTAAATAAAAATCGTAAATTACAAATGAGTGATTATACATTGCGTGTAATTATAACTTATTTTGATAATATATTATAAAGGTTTGGTTGTATGAAAAATATGTACCTAAATATTTAAATACTTAAATGATTATTACAGTGTTCTTTGAATCTTTGTGTATTTATCAAAATAAAAAATAAGATAGAAAACGTCAAATAAATAATTTTCTCCAATTTCAAATTTTTCTTCGTATACCAGATATAAGCTTATAGGTAAGTTTCTATACGTATCATCTATTATCAATGAAGTTTGTTGTAATTGATTAGCTGAAATAAATTTCAATGAAACAGGATTGTTAATACCTATTTATAATCATACAACATTTCTAATGACCAGGTAATAATAACTAATAAGCCAAAATTAACGCAATAATTTAAAACTGTAATTTCATTAACCTAAATAAACAATCCATTAATTAAATCAAAATAAACATAATTTGTATAGAATTAAGTAATACATAAGAAGAGAGAGGAATCTTGATATGCTAGTAAGAGCATGCAATAATGTGGTATGCTAAATCACCATTATAACGACGTGTTCAATTACCGAAAACGTAAACACATAACAGCAACTCATGCATCAACGTGCTAGTTTATATGAATAATATATAGACATTTTGCATTACTCATTCGTGATAAATGATTGACATGTCGAATAATTTACTGTGTCACTCGAATAAAATAAATTATTACATCTGTGATACGGGCGATTCACATAGGCAACACAACTTACACTGAAATATTGTCGATCACAATAGTGATCGATGTCACCGAAGCTTAGACCTCACCCTATGTTCTCCAAAGTCCAAACCCAAGCCAGCAACTGAAGCTCTATGAAAATATATCTTGCCTCCCCACCTCCCATTATGCACAAATTGTGAAATTGTACAATATTATAATGCCGTCAACAACCGTTACAGGTGTACGTGTGCGGATCGATGGCCAACTTGTACGTGCACAACTCGTCGCCGGAATCCAGCTGGGACCTGAAGTTCACCGGGATCCCGGTCGTGCTGTACGACAGCGGTGAGACCAAGTCCAGGGACAAGCCCCGCATCCAGATCCTTCTGGTGGAGCGCGGCACGTGCTTCGCCCTGTGGCGGGACACGATCGACAACTTGACTTCGTACAAGGTCTCCAGCCAGGGGTTCCACACCATGTGCCTGTCCACCGACCACACCCAGTTGATCGGATTGAGCTTCGACTGTTCGGAAGCCGCCCAGCAGCTGTGGTCGAACATCGAACGGCTCACTTCCGACCCGGAGAACATCCGGCTGTCCGGCCCCGGAAACCGGTCGAAGAGCGCGAGGAAACAGAAACCCAGACCGGCGCCTGTCCGCCGGCTGCCCGACAAGTCGCACATATCGACGCCGTGCTGCTTCGAGCACATCACCAACGTCGAGGTATCCGACCGGTCCAGATACCTGTCGCTGCAGAGTCTCGTGCCAACTCCGGCGATGGTGCCGCTCGACGCACCCTGACCGACTCGGTAAACGTGACCGAGACGGGCGGAGGCGTACATCATAATATAATTATTTTAAAATATAGGGATCTCTGTACATAGTCAGTTTTTTTTCGCAGTTAATATATTATTATTTTTATTTAACTAAAAATTAAAACCAATACACTCGACGTGTGTCTTGCTCCGATAGAACCCTTTTATCCTTTTATAAGTATACAATATAATATAATGTTCTTTATCCTAGTCCGCGCCGGAAAATGTCACATACTGATACTATAATAATATACGGTATTAATTGTAAGTAGTGTTTGTTGTAGTAGGATGTCGTTCATGTCGAACGTGGGAGTAAAAGTTATAACTATGATCCCGTATACTACAATAATGATAATAATATAGAAATGTATTGTTTTAAATATATAAAAATCCAAGTCGTGATATTATGTTAAGCTTAAGAATAGTTATGTCATCGACGGTAAATGAGTGTTGTTCAATGATTGTATACTGTTTAATAAAAATGTATGTTATATGGCACACCTAACTAGTTAGTTGTAAACAACAATAATTATGATTCTTGAACGAAATTATTTAATTATGCATTAGGCCTAAATATAATATTATATTATAATGACTGTCATTAATAAGACATTTTATGAGTTTAGAAATTCTTGTATGTTCGTATCCTTTATTGTTGCCTACATAATATTATAAAATATATTCCATAACCACTTATGCTTGGGTAAATTCTCTAAGTTATGTTATATATTATTACCTGTTATGTAATTGTGTTAATTTATGACAATTTTTTTTTCTTATACACTTCATGCTTTTACTTTTAATTTTAATAGAATAATTGTATTACATCTATCACCCATATAAATTATTTTAATTAAATATTGTTTTTTTTTTAATTTATTAATAAATATTAAGACTAAAATATGTACACTATGTACACCATGTAACAGTAATTCGTAATTATTACTTTATAGTATTTATAAATATAAGTAATATATATATATATGTATATCTGTTGTTATACCTAATAATATAAATTTATTTATACAAATTATGAAATTAGACTTTGAATTTATTTCCCAACAATTGTTGTAAGGAACTAGTTAGTGAAATCAAAATGTTTTGCATACAGTTTGTATGGTACTGGTAAAATTTAAATTTAATTAATTAAAACATGGTGGTGTACTTAAAAATATCAACTAGATATCAAAAGTTACTAAAAAGAAGCAAACTATGGACATTTTGAATGAAAAAATAAATGTATTATAGGTATAGTAGTTAAAGAAGCAGATTAAAGTGAGAGGGACTCAGTCCCAGTACCTCTAACGGTGGTTGAAAAAAGTCTAATACAAATTCCAAAAACAACAACCGATTGGCACTCTAATTTATCATTGATCTCAGACTTCAGTTAACTTGCGACAGTTGTGCATTGTAAACTCGTAGACAATTCTGTATTTTGTTAATTTAGTTTAATATCTTATTCTACCCGTATAAAAAATAAAAATTCAATTTTTTAGTGACACATGTTCACATTGATATTTTAATATGATTATATGAAGTCTGAATTGTCATAATAGCTTACAGAGTTTTAATTGGTGTAGGTATACAATTGTTTTTATAAAATATCTGTTTCCTTATATTTGAAAATTCTGTTGTTACCTAGTAAAAAGAGCTGTAACATTTGGAGAAAAAAATAATATTTAAATCATAAAATAAATAAGTGGGAATGGTAATTTAATAAAATGTAAGTAGATATTTTCTTGAGAACGAAGAGAGCGTTTTGTTTTTTACTCATTTAGGTCGATCAAACCCTTAACCCCCTCAAGTGAAAACTAAAATGACGCCACTGGACTTACATAGTTACACTTACAATTAAAAAAAAAAATCATGAGATGAAATCTATATATCATACCAATTTTATGAATTTTATTCTATTTAAATGTGTACAGTAGAGAAAATAAATTAATCTTAAATATTTCAACTGTTATATGTATTTATTTTTTCTACAATATGTTCAGGCTTTTAAGTTAAAAATTTATATGATAAATTACCTGTCTACTCGTATTATAATACTATCTAATCCTGATGGATGCAATTTGTGCCTAATGCCTTCGATATTGTTATAATTATTTAATAATCCAATGGTATCTATCAGTGGCACCGAAGTTTTTAAAATGTGGTTGGGCAATTTCAAAACTTCGAGGCCTCAATATCTTAATTATTTAATATAGAAGTACCTACCCTAATATATATTTACTCATAATCAATCATGGTGACATATATTTAATGAACCCATAATAAAGTTATAATGTAAATAAATGTGGCCGACTGGCCAATATTTTTTTGTCAATGGTTATTGCTTACTAATTGTGTATTTTCAAATATAGCATTGATAATATATTTATATTAAGCCACGTCAATGACAAGAACTGTTAGAAACGTCGTCCTGGTCAATAGTAAAAGTCTGTGTAAAGGAGAGCACACGACTATTTTGTAACAAATATAATTATAATTTATAACATAAGTAAAAGTGATTTTTTTTAAATAATATTAGTAAACATTTTACAGTTACGTTGGCAAGTTGCCTATTTCTGATAATAAAAGGCGTTGAACAATAATGTTAGGTTAGACAAACCAAAACTAACCCAACGTCAAAAAGCATACTTGTAAGAGTATTCAGGTATTAATACATTCAATGTTAATGATTATAAGGATTTGAAAAAAATTCCCTTTATTTATTTTGTGCTTATATTTAAGTTATTAATGAGTTTTTTTGGTAAATCTTAAAAAAATTCAGTAGAAACTATTAAATATTAAAACTAAATAAATCATAAAACACAAAAATAAATACATATACCTCATACAGTAAAATAATAGAGCACCTACTTAATATGTTTCTGGCCATTACAAAATCAACAAAACAGTATTGAAATATATATTTTGATTAGTATGATTTATTTTTGTCAATCACAGTTTATTGGCACATATTATATTAGACATTACCTAAACTACCTTATAACATTCAGTCGAGTGTCATATTCTATACCTCACCAGTACTTGTTATATCATTATACACTCTTAAGTCGCATACTATATTTACCATGACGTCTGAAGACAAACCCGTTATGCAGTTGTTGGAGGATGAAAACATGCAGGAAGTATTTGAAGAGCTCTGATCTGCAAAGTTTGGAATACCGGCTAAAATGCCGACGATGATTGGAACCGGGCTGACGATTCGAAGATCTAAGTCAATGCCGAACATGGCTACGATTTACCACCGTCCTGCTGCAGTCGACTATCAGATCGATACGCCGTTGATAGTCTCGGCCAAGCAGCTCTCCAGCCTCCGTAACCTGTCCGACACCCATGTGCTCGGACTAAACGAATTGCCAACTATAGCCCGCAGGACGAGAAGATGTTTGTGGTGAACTACGCAGGGCCGAAGTTCCGACACTATATGTCACTGGTGGGTGATGCTGTGAACTCGCCCATAGTGGCTACTCCCAAGAAAATGGTCACCTCGTGTACATCGTCGGACGTCCGGGAGAGTAACGAAGTCAACGGCCGTTCTATACGGAGGCGATGCTCTTCCGCGCCAAACATACACTCACGTCTTGGACTGGTCGAAAACTCGGAACCGGATACCCGTGATAGTTGCAGTGACGTAGCAGATCAGGAGGTGGCTGCGGACCCCGTCCAACCCAAACGGCGTCGCAAAATGTGGAGGCGGACGAAGTGATTCTTCCGACGCATGTTTTGTTGCACCGTTTAGGGTGACCTGTTTATTGCTGTACGTTTTTTAGCCTTCGTCAGTCAACCAGTTCCGCCAACCACGTCGACCAATGACGTATAATATTATAATAGCATAACATGTGTAATATATATGTCATATAATAGCAGGACAAAATCTTGCTATAATCCTCGTCGACATTTTAGCTGGTGTGTCAAACTTTACAGAACTGAGCTGAATTGTCTTCTGGTTTTTAGCTGGTTTTCGGTTTAATCGAAATATGGTGATCTCGTTGTTCGCGATTTAGTTGGAAACACGCCGGACCAGCCAACCGATGCGACCCTCAGCGAAGCTGTAGCAAATTTGGAGATTGGGGATGTTCAAGTGTACAACACCGTTGAATAAAATCATCCGATTTTTTTAGTACAGCAACCAAAAGTTTTATTTTACCATAAATGTAAGAAAAAATCAGAAAAAATGTCAAAACCCAATTGAGGTCGTAGGAGAACCGAGTCCAGTACATTGCTTGCATTCTACACTGGAGTCCAACTAGTCCAAGCATCGTAACTTGTTTGTTATCGCCATTTTTTATGTCTTCGATACGGCCCAAATCGTTGTATGACATGGCCGGGGAGAGATCGTTTGAAGTTGAACCTCAAGAAAGTACTCAAATATTACACCGAAATGATAAGAACAATTTTGTCCAGTCGATTTATATAAATTAATGTTTTTGTTAAAATGTTACTTATTATCATTATTTTATTTAAACGCATCGATACGCTAATGTAAAATTAATTTATGTAGCTTGTAAATAGTAACTATATTGTACAGTGAAACGCCTAAATACTGGAGACTCTCGGTCACTGACATTTTGTTCACTATTTGGAAATTTCCACTATTCAGAGGGATTAGCTTGTAGTTTGTTCCCAAGAAAACGTCCGCTATTTAGAGGTGCCTGCTATGGGAGGTTTCAGTGTAATTCATTAGTTATCACTAAAGACCGCATTTAATTGCATTAAAAACACACGAAAATTACATAGTAAAAATGTGTATAATATTGTACCAAAAAGTACATAATCAGAAAAATTTCAGTGTCTATAAGGTACCCCCCAGATGCCGCCACTGCAATGAATTATATATCAATGGAATTAAAGCGTATGAAATGTTTACACTTCGTAGTTAATACAGTAAATAGTTATTATAACCTACATATATTATTGCTACATATGTACGAAATTTAATGCAAACATTTGATGAACAAGTTTATTTTAAATGTCAATAATGGCATTATATGCTTATTAGTTACGAATTATTTTATATCATTCCACATACATCATCAAAAGTATTTTTGAAGCTCATAATGTCACGTTTTAAACATGACAATTTATAATTTTTATTGATGTATGTACCTACTACTATTTTTAATTCCTAAATTAATGGGCAGATATTTTGGTCTAAACTAATTTTTTTTTCGTTGTTATATAGGTAGTCGTTGAAATTATTTATACTATAAATCTATGTGTTCACCGTTATAATTTATATTTATTTGACTCTGTATATTACATGCTATATGTTAAAATTGGAATTGGAATTTTATTCCGCAAAATAAAGAAAATTATTATTATTTTAAGTTAAATGTACAAACTAAGTAATATTTATATCTTATAATAAGTATTTTTTTTTTGCAGTGGTGGTCAGATTAGGTGGGTACTCATTGATATACGTATGACGTATTACAAAACACTTGGGCATGCTTATATACTTATAAGATAAGTGGTAGTGAACAATTAAAACACATCATTTATGATTCAGTGTGAAGAGCGAAGATGCTGTTATGGTTTTACAATAATTGGTATTATTCGAAAAACGCATTCCTTGGAAATTAAAATTATTAAAAAATGTTCAGAAAAGGTATTTATGTAATTTGTATATAGCTAAAATAGCTATATTAATTGTCTCGGTATTTAGGTATAAATTATTATTTTAGATTCTAGG